AAAGAAGAGGGAGTCAAACTATTCTCCAAAGCACCTGAGTGTAGAACAAGAAGCAGTGGATCAAGGAGAGAAGCAACTTAGAACTAAGGAGACACTTTCCTGACAGTTAGAACAATTAATCAGTGGAACAACTTACCTCCAGAAGTTGTGAATGGTCCAACACTGGAAGTTTTTAAGGAGATGTTGGATAACCATTTGTCTGAAGTGGTGTAGGGTTTCCTGCCTAGGCAGGGGGTTGGACTAGAAGACCTCCGAGGTCCCTTCCAACTCTGTTTTTCTATTCTATTCTAACTTCATGTGGTCTAAGCCTATGCGGAGGACCAAATTCCTTCTTGTTGGTGTTGGGGCTGAGCTGCTAAATTATAGTGGCAGGATTGCTGAAAATTAGTGATTCCTTTTCAAACCGTTTTGAAGAAGAAATACAAAAGTGTACGGTTTGCCTGAAAAATTAGTTTACCTTAGTACAATCCTTTTTCAAAAAGAGGGAAACCCTCCTGCTTCCTAAAAACATCAGAACCCCCCCCCCCCCAAAAAAAACCCCAGGCTTCTTGGCCTTCCCATATATGTGACATGCCCCTGCCTACTTTGGGCTATTGCTTTTGCTCCCCCCACCCATGTAAAATATGTAGGTATGCACTCCAAACATATTGCTCAACCTAAGCCCTAAATCGGGGGTAGTCAACCTTTTTATACCTACTGCCCACTTTTGTATCTGTTAGTAGTAAAATTTTCTAACCGCCCACCGGTTCCACAGTAATGGTGATTTATAAAGTATGGAAGTAACTTCTTTATCAAATTTAAAAAGCAGAGTTACAGCAAACCCCTACCGCCCACCATGAAAACTGGAACGCCCATTAGTGGGCAGTAGGGACCAGGTTGTAAAGCAGAGTTACAGCAAACCCCTACCACCCACCATGAAAGCTGGAACCCCCACTAATGGGTAGTAGGGACCAGGTTGACTACCACTGCCCTAAATGAACCTGATCGCTGCACTTTTCTGAGGTAAGACGTTTGTTTAGAGATGCCCATTTTCTTCACAGAAGACCCATCACAGGCATTACACTCATTACACTAATTTTTTACTGAGCACATTTTCTCAGTAAAGGTAAAGGTTCCCCTCACACATATGTGCTAGTCGTTCNTAAAGGTTCCCCTCACACATATGTGCTAGTCGTTCCCGACTCTAGGGGGTGGTGCTCATCTCCATTTCAAAGCCAAAGAGCCAGCGCTGTCCAAAAATGTCTCCATGGTCATGTGGCCAGCATTACTCAACGCCAAAGGCGCACAGAACGCTGTTACCTTCCCAGCAAGGTAGTCCCTATTTTTCTACTTGCATTTTTTACGTGCTTTCGAACTGCTAGGTTGGCAGAAGCTGGGACAAGTAACGGGAGCTCACTCCATTATGCGGAGCTAGGGATTTGAACCGCTGAACTGCCAACCTTCTGATCCACAAGCTCGGCATCTTAGCCACCGCGTCCCATATTTTCTCAGTACAAGTTCCGAAATTTAAACTGACAATTTTTACTATATTGGTGTTAATGAAGGCTTCCATATTTTTGATATTGACAATTTTTAGTAGCTTTATCCACTGGCTGTGGTCCAGCTCAAAGTTCTATGCAAGTTCATCTGAAATTTATAGCACAAGAGATTTTTTGGTGAATTCTGTTTCTAGACCATAACAGCATCTTAAAATGCATGCTGTATATATAGTCAAAGATTCAGTGTGCATAAGATAAGCTATATTTGTTTACAGGTTGCCATTGAGGTTTACAGGATGCCATTGAAGTTATTGTATGGTTCAGTGTGTTATGCAAGTTAATTCCATAAAACAGTTTAGCTTTTTTTTCCTCTCCCAAAAGCTCTGTTCCCATATCTGTTTCTTTCCTCCCTCCTCCTCCTCTGCAGTAAAACGTTGCTTCAGAAGGAGACAGTATGATGCAACCCAATTTAGAAACAGCAAATCTGCAGGGGTTTCAGTTGGATTTTCCCTTTTGGGGTGAAAGCAGAAGATGGATGAAGATACCTGAGGCAGGGCAGCTTGGCCAAAACCAGCTCTCCACTTTGTCCATAACAAATTGTAATTTGTCCATGCAGAAGAAAACACTGGGTGAATAAATAGAGGATATCAGAGATAGCGTTCTACTGTAGGAGCAAAGATATCATCAAGACTGCCAATGCAGCGCTCTTCATTTGTTAATACAATTTAGAGTAGCTGGGGAAGAGCTATTTTATTGCTGGAATAATTAACTTGATGAATGTCCAATTTTCTTTCTGATTGACTGATCTGCCAGTGACCCTGAGATCTACCTTATTTGCATTTTTCCCTTCCAGGACCCCTTTGGGGAGAAGCGAGGACACTTTGACTACCAGTCCCTTCTAGCACGTTTGCAAGGAATCCGCCTGAAGGTGCAGGAGAAGCACCAGCAGGAGAATCCAGACATAGACTCGGAAAGCAGCTCTTCAGAAACCGAGATGGACACTCAGGGGAGCATTAAGATTTAGATACCTCCCATCTGATCACTTGGGAATCCAAAACATGGGGGTGGGATCTTTCAACTCCAGGTGTTATGGAGGACCCCAGAGAGACCTAAGGAACTGGTTTAGGTTCCAGAGTGAGCAATCAAGTGGAGATAGGGCTTTTTGTTATCTCCATCAAGTGCTCTGGTACATCCTGTTAAAAGAGGATTTGATGCGAAAACTGATCTGGGCTTGTGACAGACAGGCTGCATTTTTTAAATGACCCTTCCCTCTGCTAGAGACCTCTGAGTGAATGACACACACACAAAAGCATTTTGGAAAAACCTGTGGTAGGCAGGTTTATGTCCCCCTTTCCCCCAGTTCTCAAAGAAGCATGAGATAAAACATGGCTACTTGTTCCATTGTTCTTGTTTCATAAATGTACTGCATATTCCTAGCACCTCCCTCCCAACTTGTTTCTACACCTTGATAGGCTCCTAGCAATTGAGTCTGTTAAAACACTTTTTGATCATTTGTACATCACATCCTATTTCTTCAGATCTGGTGCATTCTAGTTTCCCAGTTAGGTTGATATTACCTGTCGTAGACTGACCAAAGAGGAAGAATTTCTGCTGAAACTGGGCTTTGTGTTGGGTTTTCTTTTTTGTTAAAAAAAAGTTTCCACAACTTTACTAAATTCTTGTTTCCCTGACTTTCATCCAGAGTTCTGGTAAGAAAGGAATAAAATGCATCCCAGGAAAATAATTAAAATTCATGTTTTCAGCCTACTGTGCAACTCATTCAGCTTTTCAAAGTAAAATTTATCTCCTTTCAATGGCCATCTTTGATGGCTCTAAAGGAGAATTTTTCTCACCCTTGGTAAATGGATATAATTTGGGGGTTGGGTTATAGTTTAGGAGAAATAACGATTGCAGAAGAAAAGTACAAATAAGTGCAGCATCACCAACAGATTAGCATGCTTTTCTGAAGTAGCTCTGGCTCCCATGCTTTTTTGGGGGGTGGGGGGGGGGTGGAACATAGGAGTTTGGTGACAGAGAAAGAAGAAACATGACCAGTGTCTAATAGACTGTTAAGCCTGGGGAGTAAATTGAACTATCCTGTTGAAGGATTGGGTCTTACTTTAATAGTTTGTTGAAACTGAAATTGTTGCACGATAGTAGATGAGTCTTTCTATAAAATCTGCCATAAATCCATTCTTCCAGATTGCATCAATGAGCTAGAAAAAGGTTCCAGACTTCTGATTTTTTTTAAGTGTGGAAAATTTAACTCTTAGTAATATACATGGAGCTTGTACCCACCATTCATCTCTTCCCACCTCTCTCTTTAAAGATCCTTTATGCTCATAGGCAGTATCTTTCCAGCTGTTCTTGCACTAACTTTGGGATATAAGAGAGGGCAGTCTGCTGCTCAAAGTATCCTGCAGCTTTGTGTGTTGGAAAAACTGATTACATCTGAGAACAGGATGGAACTGTTCTTTGTCTTCCCTCTGCCCCAAAAGAGTCTCTCCAAGGGACATGAATAGCTGGTGGAATCTGAAAAAGCCATTCAAATACAGGTTTACATGGAGACACCTTGTGAAAGGAAGGCCTCAAGAGGCGGAGCAAATTGTATGTTTATTTTAATCTCATTAGGTACAATCTAACAAACGTCAGATTTACTTATCTTCTCACCTCTCCCCAAATCAAAGGGGTGCACAGTTAATTATTAAGTCCTGGAATCAGTGACACTTAGGCTTTATGCACTCTGTGCCAAGTTAATAAATGTGGGCTTCCCCATGCTATTCACTAGGGCTAGCAGTGCTTCTGGGTTAGAGCACTGATTTCAAGACATCTTAACTCCATATGCATGCTGGCTGTTGAGCCATTACATACATTTATTTAAAACAAAACACAAAAACTGCCTTGTGATTTTTTCCCCCCTGTGGCTCACATGTGGGTGGAAGACAACACAGGAATCTGATTTTGTAGCTGTCCATAATCATTTGTATTCTGAATGTTTCCATTTCAAGAAATGACAATCCTAGACGACTGATCTAGACAAACGTTAGTGACATAAAATTAAGACCTAACAGGCTTAAGAAAAACAAACAAATGCACAAGGGTCTTCAAATAAAGACATCATGTTTATATACAGTTGTACATAAGGATTTTTTTGGTGCAATAAAGTTTGGTTTGGCAGGATCTAAAGTTCATCTGTGTCATATCTGAAAGCTAGAACAGTTGCTATCCACCCTCAAGGTGTGTACAACATGCCTAATATATCTTATTTCTCCACATTCATCACCAGATTTGCAATGCTGAAATTTCCTACTGGAAGCCTAGATTGTTCAACTCCAGCCTGAGATTTTGAAACCGTTCTAAACTCTGTTCTTCCAAAGGTGGTGGCGGTAAAGAATGATAACATTCTAAACACTTGATCCCTCAATTGCAAAATTCAAATGGCACAAGAAATGTACATACTAAATGCACATAACAGGGCCGAGGGCAGCATGTAGCATCTAACTCGTTTGGGTAAATCAAAGGCCTCCAAAGATTGTATGGCCAAAGGAGGAAATAAATACAGGCCTGGATAATAGTGTGAACTAAATTTAAAAATACATGAATTGGAAGCACCTTTTTGGTGTGTAGCTTCCAATCTAGACAAAAGTGCCTAGAAATACATTGAGCCACAATGATTTTCTATGCAAATTGCAAAAATGCTTCACATATTACCCAAAGCCATAACGTAGTTTGGTTTTGGATGGTTAAATAAAATAGGTTTTCCATACTAGGTTCTCTCCCCCCCCCCCTGGGCCCGGTGTTTTATTTGTTTTATTTATATTGCTTTCCATTTCCATCTCCATCAAACTGTGACCTGGGTACAATTATTTAAACAGTCATAATCCACATATTTGTTATATTTGTCATAATATTAAGAATATAACTATATACCATTATAATTACAATAATACATAATGTTTGTAGATTTTGTAGATTTTATTAATATTTGTAGGCCGCCCTTTTCCCTGAGGGGACTCAGGGCGGCTCACATAAAATCAGGGAGGGGGAATACAAACATTGACATAGAGACATATAATAAAATAGCAAGCAACATACAGTTATATTTAATAACTTCCTGCATAAAGGTAATTAATAACAAGGAAATATTTGGAATGAAATTGTTTTTCTTCTGAACTAGTTTATTTTCTCAGACTAGGGATATAAACATATCTCCATACATGACCTAAAATGAGATCTGCACCTTCATCGTCTCTGTGTAAAGATCTGGATAAAATTTCCAAATGCATTCTCAGACAGAAGTGTTTAACTTCATTTTCTGGATAGCTGTCCTGATCTGCCCTATTTCTGCCGTCTTCACAACACGTTGACATGACCTTTCATGCCACAGATTCTACAGAAAAATTGCAGGATAGCCCTGGTTGAATATGCATCAGTTCAGATCTTGAAAAGAGTAGTGTGTTAGCCGTAGAAATCTTCATATAGATATAAAATTGCAGGATAGCCCTGGTTGAATATGCATCAGTTCAGATCTTGAAAAGAG